ACTTCCATATTTTACGGCGGTTTCTAGCAGACTGTCTTAGTTCACCGCCAGAAGCGCTGAAGTGGGGGAAAGAGGAAAGTTTGTCACATAATGAAAATATTTTATTCGTTGAGGAAAATGTGTTTTGACTTTATTCATTATTTTCTTTTAATTTTTGAATAAAATTGAGAAGCAATATTATTCAATCGAATACTGTTAAATTGAATTCATAACTGGACAAAACAAAGTTCTAAAGAGACAAATTATAAATCAAAGTATTTCATTTTCTTGAAATCAAAAAAAAAAAAAAACTTAGATGAATTTTTATTAAGCTTTATAAAGAAATGTTATAGATACCGTCTAAAGAATGTATAGCAATAATAAAAAGTAGTTTACAATGCATTAAAAATGCTGCAGACTTTGAAGATAACTGCAGCCTATCGTGCACCTGAAAACTGTGGTGTAATACCTATCTGAATTTTGAGTTGAAAAACTTCAAAAAGTTAATACCGAGTCAAGTGCTCACCGACACTATGAATGATGTGCTTAAATTTAAACGTGCCAATTACATAGAAAGCTGGCACTATTCTTAGATGCAGGTACTCAATGCATGAATTACGTTCGCCAATTTTGGCCTATTCCTGGAAACCGTCTAAGCAGGTAAATGTTTAATTTCGCTTTGCAAGACATTGAAAACTCCATTAGAAATGTAAACTGTTCCAAAAAGGCATGCACTTTCACTTCAATTATAAAGTAATCTATAAATTATGTAAAATAATTTCATAATACTTATTTTCAAACCACTTTATTCGAATTCGCTCTAATATTCTCGCTGTACTGCATGTATGCTTGATTAACAGACAAACTTTATTTTCAGAAGTATGGTATATATGTATCGTAAATTAATTACTTTTGCTATCTAATGCATCGTTAAAAACAATTTTACTGATTCTTATGTATGTCATATCTTACGGTTATAATAAATTTTAGTGTTTCTGAATAAATAAAAAAAACAGGAGGCGGCTAATCCACACTAAGTAATGTAAAATAACCTTCTTGGTGTGATGAAGTACTTATGTTTATGAGTTACGTATGGTGTTACACCACAAAACTTTGATAGAAAGTAGTTGCAACCATTTTTAAAGTAGATATACATTAAAATGTTTTAACAGTATTGATATTTTTAAAGCTGGAAATTTGCGAATTAGGTACATTATTCAATTATTAAATGTATAGTTAACCAATATTTCAGTGAGGTTGTTTAAATAGCACGCTTTAGTTCAAAGAGTCTAATTGAATTTTGCTTTATTTATATTAGTTTTTAAAGCTGCTTAGAATCGTAATAAAGACCAAATATTAAAATTACTGACTCTATTCCCTGACCAAAAATATATTCAGATTGTTTAACGTTGTTTAACTTTATGTATAAAACAAATCGCGTGACATAATTTTAACTTTTACCTGGAGTAGACTGGTGTATGTCCAATTCGATAAAATTATTTTATGATAGATATTTACTGCTTTATTTCAAAATGTGACATATTTTACAACTTTAGTTACAAAAAGTCCTCCTCGATGTATAAAAACAAAATTGAAAATAATGGAAAAAACTTATCTAATGAGAGAAAAAAACTGATAAATATAAAGAGCTGATAACGAATCAAAAATAGAAGATAACTCTCTGTTTTGCTGAAAAGTAATATACAGTTCGTCAAAAAAAAAACGGACCACTCTGAATAAGTTATAATCTAATGATAGAATCTTCACGTTCTAGGACTTAATTTTAATGGCTTGAGAGGGCGACCTCAATAATGCTAATTAATAAGTACAAGCGATATTTTAAGCTCCAAATTAGGCACTAAAACATGCTTTCTCTAAATAAAAAAACATTTTTTTCCCGCTGAATCAGATGTCTGATTCCCGAAATATATCCTGTTTCTGGGAAATATGGTCCTAAAGTATGGACCTCTTAATGTTAATTTTACTTTTCGTGTATTTCGCTATATCTCGAGAACTTCCTAAGAGAAATGAAAAAATTCTGAACACTATTATTAAATTTGTTATTTCTTCCTGTGCTCCTAACTATCCGTTGGGAACAATTCATTCGCTTCTCATTTTCGAATTAATGGCGATTGGACATGAGGCTACTCCCCTATATTTTGTTGGTCTGAAATCCAAATCCGGCATGTTTGAGGTCACACTCTTGAACCATTTAAGGCCTGGTTTCTTAGGACATGTCGGCGTTACAAAACGTCAGCGGACAGCATCAAACAGCACATTGAAATCAGCCAAGATTTTGATTTTAACATTAAACATAGTTTCTTCATTAAACATATCACTCTTCATTTAGCTCAGCTGTAATGTGTTTTTCTTGGACAAAGTCATTATCTGTTCTTTAAAGCACTGGTCGACAATAACAAAATCAATACAAATTCAAAATAAATATTTGTTTGCGTTATTAACGCACGCGCAATGCAAGACAATGTCTGCGTTGGACAGACTGCTCACGCTGAGCTAACAAAACAGTATTTTGTTGGTGTCAGAATAACGCCAACTTAACGCTGATGCCCAGATAAAGCGCTTGTCCTAAGAAACCAGGACTTGAGCTAACAAACCAGTATTTTGTTGGCGTCAGCGGTACGTCAACGTCCCGTTGACGCCCAGATAAGGCGCTTGTTCTAAGAAATCAGGTCTTAAGATTGAGTCTTAGAAAGGGGAGATCCGACCATTAACTCAAAAGTTAGTCTGAAAGGTCCATTTAATTTTTTTGAGTAATTCATCTTCCATAAGATGTTGAAATCACTGAAGATAACCTGTAAAAAAGATCAACTTCCACTAACGACCATTTTACTATGGAACAGAAAGTGGTCTCTCCCGAAAAGTTTAACTATATATTTGGTTTTTGTATTTGTGTATTAGTACCCTCATTATAGCTGATAAAAAATTATTCTTTTCCAGGTAAAAACAGATAATACTGTAAGAGATCATTACTGCACAAAGTTGAAAATGGCTCTTCCCTACTGTGAGAACTTAAAAAGAATTGATTTAGAACTGAATAATCCAAACTTTATATCTGCGATTCAATCAACTCTAACTAACAGTTATACAAGAACTATTCATCTTGAAAGACACATTTATCCAAGTGATCATATGCTGGCAGAATTCTCATCTCGAGTATATCATGAGGAAGAAAAATGCTTACGTCCAATGGAACCAATATGGAGGAAAACTCAACTGGATAATAAAGGCGAAACAATATCTATGGCTGAAGTACAAAAAAGAATATTCGTGGATAAAGAAAAATGGGTTTTATTAACAACTGCAAAAAATTCTGTTGATGGTTATTTTGGTGCTGCATACTGGAATCCCGAACATCAGCAAGTTGTTATTGCACACAAAGGCACAAATCCGATGAGCGTGAATGATCTTTGGACTGATTATGAAGGTATTTTATCGAATGAATACACTTCTCAAATGAGCTCTGCGGTTTCTTTTGCCAATAATATTGCGGTCGAACTGGCAAAACTCAATAAAAAACTATCAATCAATTTGACACTGTCAATTACTGGACATTCTTTGGGCGCATGGCTTGGACAAATTACAGCGTTTTCTACTAAATACCTAACTAAAGGCGAGAGTGGTGTTTTTTTAAAAAGCAGAAAAGAAAGTTTTCACGCGCATACAGTAGTCTTTGATAGTCCTGGTTGCCAAGACATGTTATTGAAAATGGAAAGTGATTTTGATGTTCGCTACAGCGGTAAAGCCCACTCATCTTTTTTCTTGGATGTCACAATTTATCTATCCGCACCTAATTTGGTGAATACTCTTCACTCACATCTTAACGTTGGTAACTTATATCGGGTATTTATTGGAAATATATCCCACAGATCATCTGGTTGGGATTTTTTTCAATACACGATGGAAACTCACGATATGAACAATATTAAAAAAGCATTTACTTCCAAGGGAATATACAATACAAATGAAAGGATAATGAGGATCATAGACTGGCCATTAGTAAAAGAAGGATTAGGTGGAATAATAGTTAAAAAAATATTTTATATATTTTCAACAAACCCCAACGAATATGAACATTTTCATAAATTAGCTGATAGTACTAACTGTTACAATCCATCTCCTGATGATAGCGAGTATTGTACTCTTCGTTATCAAGTGCGAAGTATGGAAAAAGGAGAATGTAGTGCTAATATTTTAACACAAGCGGAGTTTGAATTTCTGAATGGTTGTCACAGGTTAAAGCAATTTTCGATGCTTTCTGTCGCCGATGATTTATTTCCTTTGCTAGTTGAAAAATCCAAAGGAGTGATAAGTAAGGACGAAATTGAAGAAATACTTCAAGATCTTGAAATAAAAAAGGGAGTAGGGCAAGGTATTATTAAACACAATACGGAAAAACAATTGCAAAGGTTAATTATTGGTGTCAAAAACATTTTATTTGTTTTTCCGGATATGTACAGAGAGATAACTAAATTAAAGAATTTAGAAGTTTTTAAAGAAGTATATAAAAAACAGTCCTCTAATTATCTTAAATTAATTGAGTATATTGAACTAAAGAAGGCAACCATGGAGTATACAGGTATTTTAAATAACGTTGACTTGAAGTTTTTGCAAGTAATAAGTAAAGTGCATCCTGTAGTTGGAATCAAAAAACTACATAAGCTACTAATGGAGAATAAACTTGTCTATGATGTCAGTAAAACATTTTTTCTTAGTCTGAAGCAACTTTTAAATTTAGAGCAATTTTTTGCTTTGAATGAACTTATAAAGCAATTAGATAAACACGATTTTATGTTATTTGTTGTTGAAAATAATAACGATCTCTGGAAAGAAGATAAGAAACTATTAATTAAATATTTTATAAATATATTGAATATTTTAAAAGAAAAACAGAAATTTAAGTTTATTTTATATTCGGGAGCGAAGAATGATTTAGAATTTTTCTTAGGAGATAATGCTGAGTTTTATTATGAAATGGACGATAAAACAAATTTTAAGTTTTATGATTTAACGGATGATTCCCAAAAAATACTTTCAAATGAGACAATTTATTTTCAGGGTGAAAAAACAACTTTAAGTACATTAATGACAGACGAGTCAAAACATGTAGTAGATGAAGGAACATTATCGAAACTTATCAACAAAGAAACGATAGAAATAGGTGAAAGACTCTCCGATTTAGGTGATATTGAAAACTACTACATCAATCGAATTTTCACACAGTCTACGATTAAGAAAGATATTAAAAATGAATATAAAATGCATATAACTTATAACGATAGAATTCAGAAATCCAGCCTTAATGGAGATCAAGACATTGTGCTGATTTCTGACGAAAGAGGAGGATTTGATGAACTGTGTAATGCATATAAAAATCGAAATATTCATTGGCTCAAAGAAGTAGAGAGCCAATTCGTATGGCAAAAATCTCGAGGTGGACTCTCAAGATTACGTGATTATATAGATACAAAAAGTGTATCTAAATTTCGTGACATAGGTGGACGTATAGTAATTATAAGTGCAGTATCTGGTGCGGGAAAATCTACGGTTCTGACTAAATTAGCGCAAGAGATGAAAAACTTCGATTCTTCTATGTGGATTGTTAGAATTAACTTGAATGACTATACAGAAATATTTGCAAACAATGACTTCATAAGAGACAAGGACAAAATTATTAAATTTATAATGGACATAGCTGGCTTAAAAACCCCTCTGGAGCAAGATTTATTTAACTATAGACTGAACGTTTTAGGTAAAGTGGCTATATTATTTGATGGATTTGATGAGATCGTTCCTAGATACAAAGAAAAAGTTGTTGAACTACTAAAGGCTTTAAAACATTCAAAAGTAGAGAAAATCTGGATAACTACACGGCCACACATGAAAGATGAACTAGAAGATGTATTAAGTGTACTTTCATATAGTCTAATGCCACTATCTAGAAACGATCAGGTGATGTTCATGAAAAACATTTTGTGTAATATTCCGGAATTTAGCATCAAAGAGAACTTTGAGCGTTACGCTAACAAACTACTAGACAAAGTTCAATGGATCATCTCCGATAAAAATAAAGAATTTACAGGAATACCATTACAAACAAAAATGCTGGTTGAAGCTTATCAAGAAAAATTTAAAACCATTAATGATCTGTTCAACAAGAATGAATCAAATATATCGATAAAACTAGATCTGATGAACTTATATAGAGCCTTTGTTGTAAGCAAGTATAAAAGACATCTTTTAGAAAAAAAGATATTGGATCTAACAAAGTCAGGTCCAGAGTATGATTTGCTACTCGAATCCATCATGGAAAAATATTCCTTGTTAGCTTTGTGTACAATTTTCCATGTGAAAGATTTAAATCTGTTTCTGGTTGAAGAAGAATTGGATAAAATAAAATTATTCAAGAAACAGATACAAGAAGGTAAAGAAAATTCAGGTTTCATTAGTCATATTGTTGCTGCCAAACCAATATTCATTCACTTCAGCTTTGCTGAATATTTTGCTGCACTTTTTTATTCCAAGAACATAAAAAGAAAAAAAGTAACTAAATTTTTTTGTGATTATGTTTATGGAAAAGAATATAATTTAACTAGCATTTTTTTCGATCAAATGGTAACTATTGATGAACATACCTGTAAGATTTACACATTGCACATCGCAGTTTTAAACAATGATGTAGAAAAAGTAAAGCAATTATTATCAAATGCAGAAAAAGCAAAACATTTTATTAATGCTGCAGATAAAGTAGGAAGGACTGCGCTGCATTTAGCTGCTGCATATGGGCATTTTTATTTGGTTCGGACTTTATTGAATCACGAATTTAGAGTAGATGCTGAGGATCAACTACTTGGTTGGAGGCCTTTAAGATATGCAGATAAAGACGGTCATTGGGAAACTGTTGAATTACTCCTAAGAAAGGGTGCGAATGCATGTGACATGTATGAAGCAATAAAAAGCATTGAAACTTACGATGCTGAGAAACCAAAAAAGACTTTATTACACGAGGCAGCAAAAAAAAATTTAGTGCAGATTTTAGAGACTCTCATAAAAAATAAAATAAAGTTGATCGAGGCTGTTGATGAAAACGGGTGTACTCCTCTTCATTATGCTGCTGGTGAAGAAGTTGCCAAACTTTTAATCAAACGAGGCGCCTATATTGAAGCTACAAGTATGTATGGAGAAACACCTCTACACCATGCCGTTAAGCACGATGAGGATAAAGTTGTTGAACGTTTAATAAAGAAAGGGGCTGATGTTGAAGCTAAAGGTTATCACGATGAAACTCCTTTATTTTCAGCAGAAAGTAAGAAAGTATACGAATTTTTAATTGCAAAAGGAGCAAATATAAATGCCAAAAATAGCCTTGGTTATACCCCTCTGCACAGCGCTCTTATGAACAGAAAAGATGAGATTGTAGAGCTTTTGATAAATAAAGGTGCTGATGTTGAAGCTAAAGATTATGATGATGAAACTCCTCTATTTTCAGCTGGTAGTAAAAAGGCATTCGAGCTTTTAATAGCAAAAGGCGCTGATATAAATGCTAAAAGTAGTGAAGGTTATACTCCTTTGCACAGCGCTCTTATGAATGGAAAGGATGAGGTTGTCGAGCTTTTAATAAATAAAGGTGCTGATGTTGAAGCTAAAAGTTATAATGATATAACTCCTCTATTTTCAGCTAGTAGTAAGAAGGCATTCGAGCTTTTAATTGCAAAAGGCGCTGATATAAATGCTAAAAGTTGTGAAGGTTATACTCCTTTGCACAGAGCTCTTATGAATAGAGAGGATGAGGTTGTCGAGCTTTTAATAAATAAAGGTGCTGATGTTGAAGCTAAAGGTTATAATGATAAAACTCCTCTATTTTTAGCTGGTAGTAAGAAGGCATTCGAGCTTTTAATAGCAAAAGGCGCTGATATAAATGCTAAAAGTAGTGAAGGTTATACTCCTTTGCACAGCGCTCTTATGAATAGAAAGGATGAGGTTGTCGAGCTTTTAATCAATAAAGGTGTTGATGTTGAAGCTAAAGGTTATAATGATAGAACTCCTCTATTTTCAGCTGGTAGTAAAAAGGCATTCGAGCTTTTAATTGCAAAAGGTGCTGATATAAATGCTAAAAGTAGTGAAGGTTATACTCCTTTGCATAGCGCTCTTATGAATAGAAAGGATGAGGTTGTTGAGCTTCTAATAAAAAAAGGCGCTAAAATTGAAGCTAAAGATTACTTTGGAAGAACACCTCTTTTTTATGCCAGAAATACGAGAGTATGTGAGAGTTTAATTGCAAACGGAGCAGATGTTAATGTTATTAGTAACGGAGGTTATACGCCAGTGGACTGCGCTGTTATAAATAAGAGGCACGAAGTTGCCAAGCTTTTGGCAAAACAATGCTCTCATATGAGACTTCAGAATAGTTAGAATGAAGATACAAGGCAATTATATGCTGAATATGGATATCAGAAAATTGTTCATTTGCTATTTAGGTATGTCTCCTATACGTAAACAAAAAATTTTTAAAGTGTACTCCTCTTCATCTACCTTTAAAAAGAAGAGAATAGGATATTTTTGTAATTTTAATTACACGATAAATTAAAGTTGAAATTAAGGATAACTTTATCCATTGCATCCTATTTTAACGGAAGAGTTTTTTAAAGTTCTTAACTGATCTTGATTATAGTATAGATTATATCTTCTGTATGATTGCAGATAGCAGTTACGATCTTTAAAAGGTTCGTTATCTCTAGCATTTTATTGGGATTTCGATTAAAAAAATGCTTAAATTAGATACTCTCAAAGACATATGAGCAAATTATCACATTGCCTGATGAAATAAGAAAACTATTAAACTTTTAATGTCTCCAGGACTTAATGTTAAATATTTTATTAACTCCTTCCGTTCTTCTCAACATTTAGCTGTTACTAAAGTTTTTAAGAAATTTCTTTGTTTTTCATAATTTTGCTAAACTAGTTAAATTCTTTTTAACCCTTAAATAGTTAGATCAAAGCACCATAATAGGCATTTTGGGTCATTTTATATACAATATTTTGTAACAATTTAATAGACAGAAGCTTAACTGATAATTTAGTAGACATGCTATGCAAAAGATATGAATACTTCTGTGATTATTTTTAGCATCTCCTAAAACTACGTTACTTTTATTCGAATCTTAGTTGTGCTACATTTTACCTGCCCTAAAATTAAAAACAACATTCACTATAAAAATGTGTTCCCTTTCACGTTAAAATAACTCTCTGTAAACATAGTGATCCCAACTTTCGATATTAAAATAGAAAAGTTATATTGAATGAATAAATACACAGCTTAAATAAATTGTTAGAAAATCAATAGTGTAAATCTTTAAAGTTAATATATTACTTATTTGTAAAATTTGGATGAATGCAGTCTTTGACAGTTTCAATTTTTTAAATTTAAAAAATGTCTCAGTATCAATTTTTCTGATCATAAAAAATTAAAATTATTTATCTAAACGTATTAAAATTATCTTCATAACATCTCTACTAGAAACGATATAGAGTATTCTTGTCCAAATAGCTAACTCAAAAACAGCATCCTTTGTTATCTTTCAACATGTATCTAATCAACATGTATTTTCAGCATCTAGTATCTAAAAACATTTTTTTTTTAAAATTTTGGTTTTGTGTTTATGTATTTTTCTTCCTCTTGAAATTATTGATATTAAATACAACAGGAAGTGAAGCATTCTCCAACAATTGGCCCACATTATTATAATTGTGTGAGAATTCGAGATCTAGCAAGTCACAACAGGGAAGACGGGATTAAAAACATAAAACATGTCTGTATGATGAAATTTAGTTTGTAAAAATGTTGAATGATTATCCATCAGACGAAGAATTGGTTGTTCGTGGGAAACAGTGCTGAAAAAAGTATGTCGATGAATCATTGTAATTACTATTATTCATTTATAGATTATTCTAAGGCCGGAATAGCCTGATTGGTAGGACGTTGCACTCATTAAAATCGTAGGTTTAAATACCGTCAGCTGAAAAGTCCCCGTCTATTAAATGATGACTGGTGCACGTTAAATCTCTCGTTGTCACTAAGTCCTCCAAGTTCCCCTAACAAATTGATACATCTAGGGGGTACTGAATTGGTGTTTGATTGTTCTCTGGTTCAATTCAAAATTACGTTATGTGGATTAATAAATGGATCCTCCCTGTAAAACGGATTGTGACGTGTGTGAGGCTGAAATCCAATCATTGCCGCAGCCCCGTTGAAAAGCACGAAAAGTCACCCGCTGCGTTTAAACTCTTTGGCTCTCCATAGAAGGCTTTCTGGTATTGGCTGTAGCATAAGAAACAACAACAATTATTTGCTCTTGTGAGAAATAAAATATAAATATTAAAAATCTTTTATTCTTGCAAAAATAGAGTTTCATTAAAATAAAAATTAATCTTCATTTTTAACATAAATATGTATTACCAAATAATAAACGTTTAATATGGCACTGACAATGTGACTGCAGGAGCAAGCCGAACAGGACGCCACTATCCATCAAGAAATCAAAAGTGCAAATGTCGTGTAGTACATTCGAATACTTTTCGCTGAATAAAGTTAAGCCATCCATGCATTGACTATCAATTGATTTAATTTGTTGCCACTGCTTATTTCCCTAACCTTACGAATTTAAATATGTTGGTGAAAAAAAGAAAATGTGAGAAATAATATGAATTTTAATAAAATTAAAACATTTAGCAACCATGTGATGATTTTGCTGTTCTGTAATAGTGTCTTAGATATAGTGGGAAAGTCTAAAAATAGATTTTCTTCTGAAATCAAATCTCGATTATGGTATTAAAAGGTTACCGATAGTACGAATGTTACTTATTTATTGAGAAAGTGATTAAATAAAATAATAATTTGTTTTTGAACGTTGGAAAATATGCATGTTTTTGCAAGACAGTTTGCTAAAAGGACACTTATCTGAAAATCGATGATTGCACCGCATCCAAATTGCAATCATCTGACTGGTTTTGATTTATTGAATTCCATCTTCCAAAGTAGTGATTGATTAGATTTCGATAT